TTCCCTTTTCTCGGCCGTTGGAAACAAAATGTTGTTCCAAGTCGTCCGGGGCTAACAATTCATATAATAGAAGTACACAGATTTTCTTGTTTTAAGCCATTTATACTTGCCATATTGATAAGTTTAGACATTTAACCTAATGTATATCAATTTAGAACAAAACCTGGTTGAAACTGAAATTGAATAAGAATGCATGATCCATAATTAAATTGGTAGAAATAGGTGCAACCAGTTTTTACAGCTAACTTTCTGCAGAAATAACTAGGGAAGAAACTGAAACTTAATATTCTACATTGTTCAAACTAGTAAAGATGTTAATGGAAAGATGTTCTCAATAAAACTGCTAACATAAATAAACTTGATAGAAGGACTTCTGTTGTGCTCGGCAAAATTGCTAGCGAATTTTAAGCAACAAGGCTTTGAGGAGGAAAGGACAGAAGCAGGGGCACTAGTTACACTTGCTGTTGCTAAAACACATGCTCCTTTTGTCTTGTTATTAATCTTTTCTCCTCCAATTAACACAGATGGAACATTAATACTCGTCGTCTTCTCAGCAGCAATAAAAACCTTGTTAGTGTCATCGTATATCAAAAGAACTGGGCGTTTACGATAAAGACAATACATAGCCAATTTTCCCCACAATGCAGTTTGAATGCTACTCCACCCTGTGAAATCACATTGTGGATATGGGAGTGGGGGTAAAATTTGTCCAAACTTCTCCTTGCTAAAGTTGAAGTACGCAACACAAGTGTACCTATCCGTCCAATAAAGAACACCATTGAGGAAAATACATTCCATAGAAAAATTAGCTAAGCGATATTTTAACGGATCGATAATTCTCCAGGAGGAGTTTGTTACTCCCAGCGTCAGAATTTTGGGCACAGTTAATAATGGACAACCAAAAAAACCAAGCAATTTGTACTTTCCCGTCACCTGATCAAACCCCAGAAATATCTTAGGATATCATGGGTGGGCAATTTTCTTAATAAATATTTCCGGTGGCAAAGCTTTCATCTCCTTTGTGGTGACATTGAATAAATAAACTTGAGTATCGTTATAGTTATACAAACAAACAAGGCCATTACAATGATTTGAGCAAATAACCATCTCTCCTCTGTAGCAAAAGTAATCAAGGTGTAATGAAAGTAGTTCCGATTCACTAGTTTCCACATCACAATGCTGTTTTCTAGGATTTGTTTGGAGTTGAAATAAAAGTGAGGGACGAGCTTGAGAACGAACAAAGTGCGAGCGGAGAAAGTCTGGGTGTCGTGTTAGAGTATTCCAAGTTTTAGAAACACACCTGAATCGCATTACAGACTTGGCAGGAACAAAAGTTAATATCTCCATTGTTATATCATCAGAACAATTTTGATGTGTCTCCATAACGTCAACAGGAAACAAGAATAACCTAACTACTAGTACTACTACTAGGTCTTATAGCCTTAAAATTAATTATAGCACGAACGGGCCAAGGTGTCTTGGCCCACTTCTAACGAATTGTGAGCCCTCTTAAGGTTAGACTAAAATTAATCATTTAAAACTTTATATTTTGAGTAAATTCTTCCTTATCTGTTTAGTCTTTTGTTAAGAGTAGAAAATATTATCTCTCCTAGCTTTTGAATGGGAAAAGGAATCCACTTTGACCCAAGTTTATGACTATTTTATCTCAATTTCTCAACTTTTTATAGAACTTTGTCTGATATTTAAATCTTTAATTTAAACTACTCAAATCTTGATATTAGTAAATAAAACTTTTAACAACTAATCTAGGTAAATGTAATGCAAATACACTAATATTTTATTAACTTGAAATAACCCTTAACATATGGTCTATTCCTTCAAGTTTGGTCGTAAAAGTTGTCGAGGAGTGAAGAGGGAAAATATCTGCATATTTAATACGGTTACTATTCATTTTTTTTCTGTTTACTTTCTTTTTTCCATTTTTTTTAAAATTAAGCTAAGGTAGTTAGTTCGAGTTTTTGTTTTGTTTTGTTTGGTTAGAAGCCGAAAAGAAGACAATTTGAAGCTGAAAAAGAAAATTAAAATTGTAATATCAATTTTGTTAGTTAAATTTGACTAACAGGGACATAGAATTTGTGTACCTATTAACAACAGCGGAAGATATTTGCAGAATCTGTTCCAATCAATTGCCCGAATCCGATTTTGTCTCTCTTGAAAACGAAATTCTTGTTCACGAACTAAATACCTTTTTCTTTCTTTCACTGTGTTTCTATCTTTGTAGGGAGATTATCACAGAGTGTTTCTCTCTGAAGAAGGGGATCGTTGATTTATAGAGAGGAGAAGTTCTCAGAGAAAATAAAACCACCGTGAAAAACTAACACACGTTGATTCCCACGCTCTCCCTTACTTCTCAACGTGCGGTAGTTTTATTTTAGGAGTTAAACCTTCCCTAGGTAACTTCCCTTAGTTATATCTCCTTTAAAAAACAGGTCGGGTCAGTCCATATGGGTGACCCGCGACCCAAATTCAATGTCCAATATCTCCCACTTCGCACATGATGGGCTAGACCCAAACACAGTAATTCATACTGGTAAATAGATTGTGTGGCCTGCGAGCATTAAGAGCTACATTATTCTTACATCCTTTAAGGTTGTTTAATAGCTCTATGCAGAAATCCAATCACATGCGGAAAGGATTCACTACTACCATGAGGATCTTATTATTACCCGCAATACCCTAGACATTGTTGGCTATTCTAGTAGCTAGTTATCCGATCCCTCATCCTCGAAAAGAGGCGAACTCGAGTTCATGTTTAACTTTGTATCTACAATTACACCCAATACCCTTATGGTAAGTGTAATGGTCGACCTATGAATACAGGTTAAATTACTAAATTTTAGTCGTCTTCCCTTTCTACTCGAATCTTTCCATTCCAAATCGGCTGCTTTCTTAGACATGCACTTCATTGCCGAATCACTCATGGCTACTAGTGACATGCTAAAGTAGCAATACTGATTGACACTTCAAGAGACAGTAAAAGGTCAAAGGGTATTCTTATAAAAGTTGATATAACTTCTTTGGGATCTCACACAATGAAGAAGCAGGGATTCATTCTTCCATTATCCCATGGTCGATAACACACGTGGTATGAAACACATGTTACGGTGTTCTCACCTTATATTGGCGCGTGTGTCTTACTCTTTTAATCATTCAATAGCGTACAGATTTTGGTCTAGACACCTCCAAATGTCTAACCTGAGTTTCTCACTTCAATAATCCTCAAACCATCATCTTAGAGAAACTTCCATCTGGCTTACAAAACAAGTCATAATCGAATTATAAAATTCGTAAGTCTGATTAGTTGTCATGACCGACCTCTACAAGTGAATATAACCTCACATTATCCAAGATTCTATAAGGTCTCATCTCTTCACAATTCTTAACGTAAGAGGCGATTGCTCGTGTGAGAGAGCCAATCTCGCGACTTGTTCGACACACTTTATCAACAAAATATTCATCACATGCATACGAGATATAAGCACAAATTCAAGAGTCAAATATTGATGAGTGTATTATAATAGTTAAGTCGTTTTACAATACATAAATAAATTCATATCCTTGCAAACCTGGAGCCATAACATGTTTCTCAAATAGGTCTCTAGATATCGCCTTTGTAAAAGGATTAGCTATCATGCTTCGTGTAGGAATGTACTATAAATTTATCTCTCCACTTGCTACCATGTCTATTACAAAGTTATACTTGATGTCAATATGTTTGGTCTTGCTGTGATACTTTGGATCTTTTGTATATGCAATAGCCGCTTGACTATCACAATATAGAGTCATGGGACCCTGAGAGTTCTTTGTAATATCCAAATGCTCAAAGAATCTCTTCAACCAAACAACTTCTTGTACTACAGATGCACAAGCCACGAACTCAGTTTCCATCGTTGAAAGGGCTATATAGGTTTGTTTCTTACTTTTCCATGATATAGTACCACCATTAAGTAAGAAAGCATAACCGGATGTTGATTTTCTATCATTCTGATCACCAGCCCAATCAACATCTGTATATCCTCTCAAGTATAAATCATTTCCACTATAACATAGTGAATAATCTGCAGTTCCCTTCAGGTAT